CCACACCCCTGAAGGTACCGGTAGTCCGTGCCCCCGTCGTGTGGAACGACTGTGCAACGTACCTGGAAATGGGGGTACTGGATGGGGCTCCGGTCCCCATCCTGGTGGGACGGGATCTTATAGAGCAGGAAGCCCAGCTCCGGAGGTGGGAACAGACCCAAGAGTCAAAGCCCCGCACTGTTCATGCGGTGACTCGCCTGCAGAGCAGGAAGGCTAAAGAGGGGGGGTTAGAAAATCCCCAGGAGAAAGCCACACCATTGGCCGCAGGGGAAGGGACCCCTGCAGACAGCGATTGCACCCTGGTCCCAGAGGGAACCGGTAACCCCGAGGGTGGGTTAAGTGACAGTCCCGGGGAGGGGTGTATTCCATCAGTGGCAGAGGGAGGTGACACTAGCGGGGAGGAGACCCAGGAAGTCCCTGTGGGTGAGTGTGCACTCCCTGCTGATTGCCTAGCTGGGCAAGAGGAGTTCAAGCGGGAGGTTCGGGAGGACCCCAGCTTGGAGGGACTCCGGCAGATGGCTCAGGAGCAAGAGACTGAGTTCACTCCGGACAAGAGGGAACAGGTGGTCTGGGATAAGGGGCTTCTCTATCGGTTGTGGGTGCCGAAGAACCATGCTGAGACCTGGGAGCCCCAGCGCCAGCTCATAGTACCCCGAAAATACAGACAGCAATTGCTTGCCATGGCTCACGATCTACTGTGTGCTGGTCACATGGGCAGGGAACGGACACGTCAGCAGTTGCAGGTGAACTTTTTTTTGGCCCAGAATTGCCCAGAATGTGACGAACTATTGCAAAAATTGCGAAACATGCCAGCGGACGGGCAAAAGCGGGGACAAGAGAAGGGCTCCCCTGCAGCCCCTCCCCATCATCGACCAACCCTTCCACAGGGTGGCCGTGGACATTGTGGGACCGCTGAAGCATAGGACTCGTAGGGGAAAGAAATACATACTGACTCTAGTGGATTACGCAACGCGGTACCCGGAGGCAGTTGCCTTGACCTCCATCGAGGCACGCGGGGGCGGCAGCAGCGGAAGCAGCAGCGGAGGAAACCAGCGGCGGGGGCAGCAACAGCTGATTCCCCCCTAAGGTAAGTGGGGTAGAGAGCGCAGAGTTAGTATGTACATATTTCAAACCGCCACAACATCACTCCTCCCACTTCCAAGAGGGCTGCTCCAAAGCAGCTTCACTCGCCCGCAGGGCAAACAGTGTCCTATGGGGACAAGCTCTCTCTCTCTACACTGTCCCTCGGCAGGGCAGCCCTTCCTGTCTCTTCAGATAAGTACAATTTTAATGCTGCTACATAAAACTTAATTTAACCTCTGAAACATTGTCTGCCCCAGCCCCACTCCCAGATGTCATTCGCTTTAAAATGCTCCATTGTAAAAAATGACAATGGTTAAGGATTAAGGCTTCAAAAGGATGCTCTGCTGTTTCCCAGGTTTTCGGCAGAAGTAATCTGAGGAATAAAAAAGATTCTTCTCCAAATTGTCAGTAATACTCAAGAAAAAATGTCAGTTTTTTAATGTCTAGCCCTGCAGATACTAGGGCAATATCAAACTTGCTGTCTCCCACAAGACCATGGTGTGTTAAAACAGCATTGCAGGCAATTGGGAGGCAGACAAGGCCTGCGCCGATGCCTTTTTTTTTTAAGATACTTGAGGGGCTGGACTGGCCGTGTGCTACCACGTGCTTTTTTTTTAGTTATTTGTTATTTTCTAATGACCACGCTGTTTTTCTGCACAGTAGGTTTAGTTAAGCTACTCTCCCTTTAACTGCATCACCTGTTTAGAGGAAATGTTTCCCGATTTAGAACTGACACATCCCATTCTTTGAAAGGGTTTTAGCATTTAAAATATTTCCTCATGCATTTCATGCATAGAGGAGTATTAGACACATCCGTATAGGACATGTCCGCCAGTGGGTGTTATTCATTGCAGGCAGGGGTGCAAACTCCACATTAGTTGTTCCTAAGCCTCTGAATGCTGGAAGCTGCAATGGGAGAGAGGCAGGGGCTGAATCAGTCCGGACAGGCCCTGCAGAAATAGTCTTGCCCCTTTCCTGTGAATGCAGCACACGGAGCTTGTGGCGGGCCAGTAGGGGGCGCGCCTGCGTTGAGCCGCCCACCTCCCTGCGCCCGCCCACCTTCCAGGCTCCGAGTGCCTCCCTGGGGTGCCTCCCGTCCGGCCGACCCCTTCCCTGGAGCACACCCGCTAGCCTGGGGTTCCCGCTGCCACCATCCAAGGCTCTGGACTCACTTCTGGCTCTGCGCACCTTGGAGAACACAGGCCTGATCGTCCAATGGGTGCTAGACCCAGTACAAGCACTTGGGGCACTTCCTCAAATCATGGGATTAATAGGAAAGTCTCCCTTAGTCCACCGACCTAAGGGGCCTCCTCGGGTCTGCTTTAGCTACCTCATTGCCTCCTGAAAATGAAGGTGAACCTCACAGGAGTCTTTCTATGCTTCACTTCTATCCACTTCCCTCGCCCAAATACCTGTCTGTCCTTCTTTCCTGCTTACCCTGCTAGCTATGTTCCCCACTGTGTGACAAAGTGCGGTTCATCACTCAGCCCAGCCCACGTGGCTGGACATGGCACCGCAGGCTCTGAGCCTCAGTCTTCCCTGCCTGGAGCTGCTCCCTCTGCCTCAGGGCTCGGCTTCTTACACTTCGCCCTCGCAGCCCCGCTCCTTCCGAGGGGACAATGACCAGGGAGTCCCAAAGAAATCAGGTGACGTCCCCAGGGCTATTGCCACGTGCTGCACTTCCTCCTTCCCTTTGAGACACCCGTCCTATCTCACTCTTCAGTCTAGGCAGCAAGACTGAGGTTTTCTCTCTGGCGCTCTCCAGCAGCACTCAAGGGACTTCCCAAAATGTCATTCAATGTGGGATGAAGCACTGAGTCCCAGCTGGACTCCCCGTCCATTGTTAGGTGCTCTTCAGGAACACCAAGACACGGGGCTGCCTCCCTGGGCCTTGCTCCTTCTCATGGTCCACTACCGGGAGGAGCTGCCTTCACTCCTGATTCCCACCCAGGTCCAACCACAGGAGAGGCAACACCTTGGTCTTTGGTTTCCTGAGATTTTTCCTAGATCAAGGGCCTCTCTACCTCTTGAAATCCTCTACCCCAGGCCTTTTAGGCTTCCCTGCATGATCTGCCACCAGCTTGGAGCTGACTTAGGACACCTTAAGCTTCCTGACAGGAGCAGCAATGACATACACAAAATGCCAATTCCCAGACCTTTTATCTCCTTGAAAAGAAACCAAATCCTTCTTAGGTGGACCAGAAAACTAAAACAAGTGAGAGCTCCCAGGTCCACTCCAAAGGACTAATTGGGTGGTGAGGACTCTGCTAAGCCTTGCTGTGTCCCTGCAGGGGTGTGCAGCCAAACTCGAGATGGATATTCAGTGTAACATAGCTACACAATATTGATTGTTTCAAAATCTAAGTAGAACAGCTAACCCCAAACCTCTGCTTTTCTTGGCTAAATTAAAATGAACCCCCATGGTTCAGTTAAAGCGATAATTTCTATTGTATCTCTAGAAATGATAAAACAGATGGTAAACACAAAAAGAAAAAAGCATTGGAGATGTTTGTGTGAGTGTTGAGACTGCACTTGAACACTACCACACGCTCACGTTCAAACCACGAACAGGTAGATCACACTTAGTAGAGCCTGCTCTGCTTGATGGTAAGGGCATCTTGTGGCAGTAGAGTCAGTCTGCTTTAGATGACGTGCACTCGATTGAAACTGTAGAATAGCTTACATGTAAGATATGATCACACCTTCCAAGATGGGCTTGGAAAGCTGAAGAAATGAACTGAAGTCTGTCGGTAGAGGAATGAACCTGTCCCGGGGCTGGTGTAACAAGGGCAGACAATTGTCTCATCTCTTCGGACTGTGTTTGCATGCGCAGTCACTGGGGCAGATTCTCACCTGGACTAAGTTGTCTCCTAGCTCCCTCACTTCAGGGGCCCTGTAATGATTTACACTTGCTGAGAATCTGCTGATATGTGTGTGTGGTCAGTTTATGTCTGCCTGGCCTTTCCGTGACGTCTAACTCAGTTAACTGAGATGACCGGGAGTGAGAAAGGAGATGCATATGCCTGCAGAAGGCTAGCAAGACCACTTAGGGTGCCTACACCCGAGAGCGCAATTCACCTGTTTCCTGACGCGCTGCAATTCTTGCCCATCGGAGCAGCCTCGATTAATTCAGTGTCCTGGAGCATGGCAATTCCTGCGCCCCAGCAGCCTCCGGTGTCTTGTGTATCAGCGTTCCTGTGCTTCAGTTCAAGTGCCCCCGCCACCATTTCTAAGTGTGGGGATGCTGAGAGATGAGCCGCTCTAATGAAAGGACCGGTCCCCACCGTCCAGGGAGCACATGCCAAAGTGCCCTTCGGTATTCAGCTCTTAGGCAGTTTTAAGTACCTGACACCACAGTGTGTGAATCCCGTGCACATCTCCATAATTCATGTTCACTTCTCCACATTTCATCTCTTTCATGCTCACTTAGTGAGGCAATATGTGAGAAGGGGTTATTTTTCCCCACCTTCTTTTTGTACCACCCACTCTCCCCAACTTCTTTTTTTTTCTTGCTTTCTTCTCCTTCCACTGTTAGCCCTCCACCCTTCTTGCTGCCACAGCTGTTGTTACTGAGAAGGCCTGTAGCAGAAGGGTGATTTGGTGTTTGGACCTGACAGGACCAGGCCAGGGCTCAGTCCGGTCCCCTTGACACAGCTGGATCATTGCTATGGAGCATGCATTGCTCTGCTCTTCTGAGATTTGCAACCACATTCCTCTTCTTGGATTGGGGTGAGCAGCTGCTTCGCAGGACTCAGGATGGATAAGTTTCCGTAAGATGGCCTACGCTAGAGAGCATTGGCCTTGCCAGCAATACTGCAACTGCCGGACACAGGTGTGACAACTCACAGTTACACCCGGGTGTGTTAGCAGCAGTGCACAAGGGCCACATCTTCTTTGGTATTCAGCCTTTCACAGAGCCAGGGCAACCGGATGTGACCACCAGCAAGTCCCTTTGCACTGCCCAACACTGGCAGCTCCACAGAGCCCCTTCCCCAAATCCCATGGCAGATTTGACACCTCAGACGACTGGCTCCAGCACCTGCTGAGTCCAGCTCCTTTCTGCAGCTCAACAGAAAACATCTGAACTTTAATGAAAAAAGTACATGATGGCAGACAGCATTTTCCACAGAGCATGGTTCCCATTTCCAGCAGCTCTACCCCCACACCCCTGCTGCAGGCCAGATCCGGAGGGCGGGGGGGAGCCACAGCTGGTGTCTGTGGTGTCTCTTCTCTGCCTGCCCCAAGCACAGCAGGCCTCATGAACTACAACTAGACATACGATTGTATAACACCCTCTAAAACACTGTTCTTTATGTGGTATCTTGGGATTCTTCTGAAAAAAAAATATAACATGCAAATTAAAGGGTAATGAGCATTGCTACAATCCACATCCCACACACCCCCAGCCCACAGACACACACTAGCACACTTTCAATTGCACATGGACAGGTGTACATACATAGCCGGATGCACGTGCACCCCTACAACACACCGTTTTCAGTGAGAAGGGCCATGGCTGTTGGTTTGATTCCAGGTGCTCTGCCCATCTGGAGGGAATGAAAAGGACGTGGCAGGGGTTGTGGACGTGGGTGGCTCACACTTAATGAGCCAAGGGGCCTCCGGGTGGCCTGACCTGGCTCTGTCCCCCCCGTACCTGCAGACACACACAGTTCCGTGAAGGTAGTGTTGCCCAGTCTCACAAGAAAAAAAGTGGCATTGCCTTTAAAAACAAGCCCAAAACAAGCCCAACTCATTTCAAAGATAGGAGAGTGGGGGTTTTTGTTGTGCCAGGGCTGAGTGTAGTTTTCTGTGGAGTTTAGGTTATGGTTGTATGGGATGGTTTGGATAGGGATGATCCTACCTCTGGCAGGGGGCCGGACTAGGTGACCTA